GTCGCCGCCTCAACCTCCTCGAGGTCTGGTACCGCCGCCAGGTGTCGGGTGGCGCGCGTCGCTGGTCGCTGCATCACCTGTTCGACAACGTCTGGGTTCAGAGTGGGGGACTTGGAGTTCAGGAGGGTATTGAAGAATCTCCGCCACCGCTTGAGGATGGCATCCTTGTTCCGGAGTAGCACGCCGTTCTCGTCTGTAACGAACTGCTGCCCCCCAGCTTGTCTCCCGCTGAGGCCCGTTGACCGCTTGAGGTGTTGGTACAGCCCCCGCATGTCGCGGTCCTGGTAGATCGCTTCGAGCTCCGTCACGTATCTTTCCAGGTGGTCGTAGATGCTCGTTGCGATTGTTGCCTTCACCCCCTTGCACGTTGCTTTGAGGATCCTCCACGTTGTCATCGTATATGACTATAAAAATCATTGTTATAGTCATATATCATAGCACCTAATTATAAATATTATACGTATAAGTATGAAAGATAGACTGGAAGTCTCAGTCATCTGGGGGCTTGTCATTGGTCCACAGCACGCGGGTAGAACCACGCGGGCAGAACGGTTCCGCCGCGGTACACCCGCGCACACCGGCACACCGCCGCGCACCACGCACCACAGACCAAAGCACGCGGGCAGAGAATTCCGCCGCCGTTCAACCGCGCGCACCAGCGCACCTGACCGCACGGACCGCCATGAGCGAGCGACCACCGCGTCCACCTGCGGGTCGAAGGAGTGATGCTGCTGCAGGCCTCCTTCCCGGAGCCCTGTCCGTGGCCGCAGCAACCGGAACCACAGCTGGTGCAGTAGCAGCAGCATCCAGAGCATCCCGGCCTCATCAAACGCCAACTACCCCAGTTGCACCAGCACCAACGCCTCCAGTACCATCATTGCGAACCGTCCCGCCAACGGCACAGCGTCCACTGGTACAGATTCTTCCTCGCCCAGGCCCTGCCGGCCGCGGGCTACCTGCCCCTCTGGCAGCAGGACGTGGTCGGTCCGATGCACGTTCTGCGTCGCAGCGGCGACAGCGCGACGCACCCGACCGTGGAGGCCAGGGCCGTGCACTATCGGCAGGGCACCCGGAGCAGACAGGGCGCGGGGGGACGGGGAAGAGACCATACAACAACTTCAACCAACAGTGTGGATGTGCAACTTACCGAAGGCGAGGTCAGACAATAGATTCAAGCTGTGCCAGGATAACCGTATCTGCGGAAGATGGGTCCACAAATCGAGAGACCGAGCGTGCGTCTCCGTCTTCAATCTCTCCGCACCCGTAGACGCAAGGTGCTGCAAGCACCACAAGGGCTTGAAGAGAGCATGTGGCTGTAATAGGTGATTACCATCCTCAGAGACACTGCTGTTCGTGTAACCGATTTGAACAGGACAATTGAGCAGGATCAAACTCGAAACGCCCGGCCCAACGGTGCTTTTCATGATACAGAACAGCAGAGCTCCCAGAGCTCTACCGCGGCTCTGTGCGGCGCTCTGTTGTTATTTGCCAAGCGTACGATCGAGAGAGTCGCCAGAGAGGGGTTAAAAAAATCGCCTGTGTACATGTACTTGGTATGTACACATGTGCATGCGCACATCGTTCGTGGTGATATTTTGTGTTGGAGTGTCTAAGCGCTGCTCTGGGTGACATCAATTTATTTGGGCGGNCAATTGAGCAGGATCAAACTCGAAACGCCCGGCCCAACGGTGCTTTTCATGATACAGAACAGCAGAGCTCCCAGAGCTCTACCGCGGCTCTGTGCGGCGCTCTGTTGTTATTTGCCAAGCGTACGATCGAGAGAGTCGCCAGAGAGGGGTTAAAAAAATCGCCTGTGTACATGTACTTGGTATGTACACATGTGCATGCGCACATCGTTCGTGGTGATATTTTGTGTTGGAGTGTCTAAGCGCTGCTCTGGGTGACATCAATTTATTTGGGCGGAACCTTTTCACGCATGTTTACGGCGATCCTGGAAGCAAGCCGCTTTCTTGCTATGTATTCCTCAGAAAGTAAGACAGCAAACTCTGCTCGTCGATTTTCTTTGAATTTGTGAGAGCAGACCGTACCGATGCGTGTACCTTGGCTTTGTCGTAACCCTCGTCCTCACCGTCGCCACGCCTTTGTTTTTTTCTACGCCGGACGGGTCCAGCTGTAACTCCAGCAGGCGCAAGCTTGTCCTGGGCAGGATCTCGAGGCGGGGGG